TGTGGCCATTTTCCAGCGCGCAGCAAACGATATTGGTCTCCCACCACGCAGAGTCGGGTAGGCTTAAGAAGCGCAAAGGAAAAAAAACCTTCCAGTGACCAACGCCGGCGTTCCACCAAATATCGCCACCGTGCCACGGAGCCATCGGCAAAAATAACAGCAAAAAGATTGGCCGTCGTTCGAGACTGAACCACATTTGAAACCGTCTTGGAGACAATTCTCGCACCTCTCACGTCGGCAGATACAGTTGTTACTTTTTCCTTCTGGGAGTTGTACCAGGCGCAGAGTCTCTGATCGGTCCCAAAAGAATACAAAAAAGGGAGCTCTTGATAGCCCTCAGTCCATGAACTAGGCGAAGAGGAGAAAAGACGCCTAAATTCCACATCACTCTTCGTGTGCCACAGTACCTGTTCATTAAGAAGCAAACCCGTTTTCCAGTCGTAGGCTCCAACGGAATTTCGTGTTGCAAAATACAAAACATCTTCATGAGCCTCACTAAAAGTGGCATCCAAGACTGTTTCATGGCCGTCTTCGCTGTCGTAAACCAAATCCTTCATCTGCAGACCGACACCGCTTTTACCCGGTGCCGTTTCCAAGGAACCAATCACACGCAGACGATCACCAAGCACAAAACAAGAAGCCTGTGTGGAGCTAAGTTTGGACGTACACACACGCAGCGGAACAAAGGAGTCTGTAGGCTCAGTTCGAACAGGGAATTCAAACTCACCAAATGGTTCTTTACCCACAAGATGTGAATCGTACACAAAATTCGAGCCGTCTCTTGTCACAACCAATAGGTGTTGCTTTGCCAAGTAAGAAAAGGCATGTATGGGCTGGCTATTCGGTACCTGGATGCTATTCAGAACCACTCCCTCAGCCACATCCCAAATGGCAACGGCCCCTCCACGATCTCCAGTGATAAGAAACAACCCATGTTGCAAATAAGACGCCGGTGGTGGTTTCCACTGGACACATGTAACAGGCGCATTGTGTCCATGCAGTGTTTGGACTAGCTGCATGCTGTTCATGTCTACCAAAAAAACATCACCGGATCCGTGGCAGTAGGAGCTGT